GGACGAGGACGCCCCGCATTCCTTCGTGGGACGAGCACGCCTGGATTTCTTCGTGGGACGAGGACCGTGGACTAAAGTGCGGTGGGGGGAGTGAAACCTCCCAAGCGCACCGTCGGGTCTGCAGCAATGGGCAGGTCCTGTCGGCCTTTTTTCTGGACTAGCCAGTTTTTTGCAGTCCGAGCAGCCCGCCCCGACGGCCCACCGATGATGCACTCTAGTCCACACGATCGTCATAAATAAAACTAACAAAAGCCTGGACCCAGCGAAATCTGCTACACCCCACTTTGGAAGCTATTCTGAAGCCCCTGCAAACATTTGCATCCACCCTCACCTTCCGTTCCCCCCACTAACAGCTCCATCGAAGGCTTCCATCCTTCAGCCTTCTAGGGGAGGCCCTTGTAGTGCAACTGAAAACATGCTCTTTCAGTATCTTATAACATTAGATTTTATGGTTGTTTTAACCTTCGAAACGTCCATTTGTTTAACTGACTGCACATCCATGGTCACAAACCGTTTTGGTGAGTTCCTCGCTGCACGTTTCTCGCTCTCACTGATTCGCTTCCTATTTTTGTAGCCTGTACAATATACGTTGGGTTCAGTTGCCTCCGACTTCTATACTGTCGTATTTAGCACGTCTTACGTGTCATTGCTTACCGACTAGTATCCCAGGCGGCGCCCAACACAACCTCCTCCAATAAAAGAACGGAGCACTTTGCTTGATTTATGGGCAGTAACCATAAAGTTGACCAGTCCCAAAGCTTATCCAATACTCGCTGAATAGCTTCAGAACCCCCAGGAACATAGACAATGTTCCACAGCTTCAGGTCCTCAGCAAATAGCAGCGACGGTACCTCAAGCTCTGCGGGTAGGTCATTCACAAGATAGAGAACAGCAGCGGTCAAAGGACCGAGCCCTGCGGCACGCCACTGAGGACAGACTGCCTAAACGATAGGCCCCGGCTTACCCGTACACACTGTTCTCTACCCTGCAAGAAGGCAGTCACCTAATGAAGGGCGCGGCCAGATACCCCGAAGGAGGACAACTTTTGCGCGAGCCTGAAATAGGGTACCTCGTCAAAGGCCTTCGAAAAGTCGACGAGAAGCACGTCCAGCGCACGGCCGTTATCCACTGCATCCGCCCAACTTTCGCGAGCCACCAGTAGATCCGTCAGAAACGAAAATCCCTTCCGGAATCCGTGTTGTACATCGCTAAGTAGATTAAATCTACTCAGATGACTCTCCAATGAACGTCTCATCAGTTTCTCGAGGAGTTTGACTACTACACCCGTCAGACTAACTGGCCTGTAATTTACAGGCAGACCCCTGTCCCCATTTTAGAAGATATGACAGGTGACAACTTTCTTCCATTGGAAGTCAATGCACAGCTGTCACGCGATTTATGAAACACAATAGCTAGCGGTCCACTTAGTTCCGCAGCCAACTCATGCAACAGATTCGGGTGAATTAAATCAGGCCCAGATTCCTTCCCTGTCAACACCATCGGTCACTCGGGCGCCCGATACAGGACACTCATCGGGCGTTCGTAAAATATGGCATATGAAATCCGCTTATAGCCGTATCAACTGTCCAACGGCGACTGAAAACATCGATGGTCCTTCGATTAACTTCTTATAATAAACAAACTACTCATTAAAAGATAGTAGAGATGTTCACTTCGTGAATGCAGTATTCACACCCACATTACGCATAACTACTGGTGCGTGTGCGCTGCACATTGGTTATGCGACACCTATAGGTATCGCCCATAAAAGTGCGATAAGCGTAGAGGATGGCACTCCCAGTAGCTGAAACGTCTCACCACCAGCAGACTCTTCCCACGCAATGTTATCGTTGAGCACGTAATGCCCCCTTCACGAAAGGCACAGCTGCTATACAGCGAAAAACAGCCATTGATTCAACGGAGGCCCTGCCAAGTCAAAGGTGATCGTAGATTCCGACGTTAGCTTCTACATGTAACAGAAGGTTTGCGTGAATATGTGACAAAAGCGGACTGTCCTGCTGGTATGAATATCAGCAGTGAGGACCTACCAACGTAGTTCCGTAGTGCAGTCGTATAGGGCGCTTGTCTCGTTGCGTAGGTGTCCGGAGTTCGAATCTTGGCAGGGTCGCGTAAGGATTAAGCGGTATCACTGGATGAATCTCGTGGTTGTGCATTGGGTCGTGGTCGTTTCTCCATTTCCTTCTTTTCGCTACGTTCCAGTGCGCATTAAGATTATAAGCACTTTTCACACTCTTCATGACGATGTTGACTGAATCGCGTGCACCAGTTATGTTAATGGTTATGTTGAGGCCAATATCATAGGTAATCTAATGCCATGCGTTGAGGAATACACTGAGGAGTGTAAAGGGGGAGTGCTGCTAAAGACTTCTCCGCCAGTCCGAAACGTCCCGTTCGCACATATTTTAGAAGCTGAGCGGCCTGCCGGCGGATTTTTGTGCTGGTAGGGTCCCCAGATGTGTGGAAATGTAATAACGTGCAATCAAAGGTGTTGGCAGAGAACGTAAGGTGGCTAGATTATTCCTACAGAGCGAAATCTGGGAAAAACAGAGCATTTGAAGGAGGAACCGCAACATTTTTCTCGGCGAGCGCCCGATGAGTGACACAATTTTGTGCCACTCGGGCGCCCATCGGGCGCTCGATCGGTCACCCATCGGGCGCCCATCGGACTTCCAACGGGCGCCCATCGGGCACTGGTGCTGAGTGGGTTAGAAGGGTTCGGCCCTTCTAACAGCCTACGAACTTCCTTCTCCGCTACAATAAATTCAGATAGTTTTGAACCCACTGGGGTCCTGTAAACCAGCTCTATTTTGTCCCGGACGAGGCAGGGCCGAAAGCCTGGACGCAGTACTACAAAATAGGCCAAACGAAAGCCGAGAACCCGAATTTCATCCACATTCGATGCTCGTTGGATAAGGAAAACTTTCAAGGAACCAGAGAATTTTTATACATCTTTATGTAATTACTGTTTTTCAAACGGTCAGGCCTTAAATTAATGCACTACTAAATAGTAGATTTGCCTCCGGCGGCTTCGACTCGGTGTTAGTTTATGACCTTAAAGTTCGTTATGGTGCTCTCTAAATCAAGACTTTCAAATGATTTAATCCTCTGATATATTTACCCTACAACTGCAATTTCATTTGTTTTGCCACGCTACACTGAGGCCGTGGCGCGGTCGCCATTTCTCTTCTGCTTTTCGGCTCTGGATTTCTTTTTGTAGTGTAGCTGTTCTGAGCTGGACGTTGTGGTCCCTAAGGTAAGAGTTCCTGGAAGCTCAGTTAGACGGCTACTCTTGTTTCCTTTTTCTCTTTCTGTTTCTTTCACAGCCAACACGCCTATCTTCACTATCCATATCAGGTTCCATCTCGTCGGCAGCTGTGATAAGGGCATCCAGCTCTCCTCGAGGTGTTAGCCAAGCACTCATTTTTACTAGGTCATTGTGATATGCACATCCAGCCGATTTCCACATTTAATCTTGTGAGAACCGGATGTTGCCACTTGTCAAAAGTACACGCCGAGACTCCCATCGATGTGACAACTGCGATTCGCTTTAAATTCAAGAAGGTCTTCGGCAAAACGCCGACTTGTGAGGAATCTGGGCCGCGTTGACCTCACTCAGTTACGAGAGCGAGCCCTGCAGGTAGACTAGATTCCTGAACCAAAACAGATTCCCTTAGCGCACCACTGGAACTTGGGCTTGTCCAGTTATTAGATGTGTTTGCTCAGTTGAGGCCGAGAAGACATGGCAACAAGATACTGGTGGCGCGGAGCACTTATTTGGCGGAACGATTCTTGGAAGAACTTTCGGTTTAGACATTGGCTGCATCACAAAAGATGCAGGAATTTAGCAGTCAAATTGCAAAGAAAAGCGAAGTACTGCTTTGATCTTCTGTTATCCCAGAATATGTAAACAAAGCCCAAGTTGTATTACAGTTTCGTTGTCAAAAAATCTTTGAGAGCTGGAGTTTTAACCCGACCATGAAGAGCGGAAGTCGTGCTGCAGAAGACGCGAATGAAATAGAGGTGCTGCTGCGTGCCTTTCAGAAAGTGCATCGTGTGGATGAGGGGCGCCCAGTCTCTGCACAACCACATCGTCAAACCGTGAGTGTCAGAGGCCTTAGGTGTACTCGCTAGCTTAGAACCCAATAAATCGGCGGGATCAGACACTGCATTCTGCGATTGTCTAACCACTCGCTAACACTAACACCCTGCCTTGTAGTTCTTCAACACTACTTTAAGAAGGGTGATTGCCACAAGACTCGAAAGAGGCAGCTCTAGTGGCGATGCATAAGGGAGGCTCCAAATCTGTACCCACCAACTACATGCCTGTCAGCCTCACAAGCGTGTTGCCTAAAAGTTTAGAGGTTATCAGTAGCCGTGGAACAACACTGCTTTGTCAAGAAAAAGTCATATCTTACCTATTTGTTGTGCTTCCTGGATGAAGTAACGCGTCTTGGTAACGGGATTTCCGTAGACGCTTGCTTTCTTGACTTCAGCAAGATCTTTGATTCGGTAAACCACCGTTTCCTACTAATGGAGCTTGGGATTCATCCCCAACTGTTGACTTGGATATCAGCTTTTTTTAGAAGAACCTTCCATGTTAGAGTCGATGATGTCATCTCAAGTATAGGTACCACCCACGGTGGTGCTCCCCAGGGCTGTCTTAGATCCCCTGTTATTCCTCATGTTCATGAATGACTTGGCACCTCTTGAGGACCCCTGTTACATATTTGCTGATGATCTGAAACTGCCTAGCAGAAGTAATAGGGACGCGCTGCAGTGTAGCAGAGGGGTCTGTCGTATGGAATTTCCCCCTTAACGCCAGTAAATGCCAGCTGCTGAGTTCCATCAATGATGGGATTATAGTGCAGACTTCTACTGGACCCCTGACATTGCAGCCTGTTGATAAAACACGAGACCTAGGTGTCATTATTACGAATAACAGCCCAATATCAGCATACTGCCAACAAGGCGCGGCAGGAACTCTTCAGCCTCAGGAGGACCTTATGTAACACTAGAGCGGAGGTATTCTTACCATTATACAAAGCGGTGCTACGACCCTACTTAGAATACTGTGTCCAAGCGTAGACAACGTATCTCCGGATGTTATTTGTATGGAGAAGGTGCAGAAGCTGATTGAGTAGAATGATTGAGGGCCAACGCGAAAAGCCGTAGGATGAACGTCTAAAGAGTTTGGGATTGTTTTCCATGGGAAGGCGTTGATTGAGAGATCTAGTATAGCTTTTTCGGATCATGTAGGGCCTCAGTAGTATAAACCTCTTTATAGCCAGCTACATCCGATCACCTAAGAGGTCATCTGAAGCTTAATCATCGGAGTTCTCGGCTAGATATTAGGGGGAAGTACTTTTCGCACTGCGTTGTTGGCAGTTGGAACAAGCTTCCTCCTTTGATGAGCTGTACAACACTCGACGCCTTCAGGAGTGGTCTGGACATGTTAATTACCTTTTCCAGAAATATTATCAACTTATTGGTGCTCCTTTCAGAGAACTCATGAAAGATGAAAGTACAAGCTTGTTTCTTTTTGCCGTGTTTTCTTTGCAGAATCAAAAAACGCAATTGGAATTCAAAGTACCGGGAACCCTTTGTTGCTTGCCGGTGCTAGAAGCAGGACGCTCTTTAGGCGGAAGCTTATATCGTTCTAGGAACCTGACCTAACCTGAAAGTACTTGTATTATATTGCTAGCCCTAGGTCTATTACGACCTCCGTACACATCGGACTCGAAATCATCGACTGGAAGCAAGTCACATTTGACGACATCACGAAATCCCAATAGCAGTCCCCGAAGAAGATTCGTTGCTCTTGAGACGATTAAGTTTCCTGTAACCATATATTCCTGTCGTGGTATCTGAACCTAACCCACCGCGCTTTTCAGTTTCGCGCATCAACAAGTCGGGACCGACGGGTTTCCGTAGCTCTTGAGGGCTGCACCTATAACCAGAGAGGATAATATAGTAGGTCCCCTGATTGCGCCGTCGAACGGTTAAATGTCCGATTCTCGTCCGCTTCCGGACTAAAGTCTGTGTAGAAAACAGACACTTGTCACCGTTAATAGCTTTACCAGACGCTACTTAAACAATCCGAAATGCGCAGCGACGTATACCAAAAGGGTTTACGGGTAGATGGCTGCGAGTATGAGTATCTGGGTGTCCGGTTTCCGTCGATGCATGGAAAAGGAGAGCCTTGAAATCAAAGTTAAAAGGTTTACCCAAATAAAAAACCGCGCCTAGCATTGTTTATCACTGCTGTATTTTTATCCCGTTCAAGTAAGACTTGCGCAATACATCTTCGCTACCTCAGTAATGAAATTCAGTATTTCTTCAGGTTCCTTCAATATAAAATGCCGCATTGACAGTCGCTGAGAGTCAGTGATCCATAGGAATCAGGATCGGAAGGCTAGATAAAACTGCACTAGCAGATGCTGCTATTTTTTACTATCATATTTCCAAATTTTTTCGTCGTAACTTTTTTGCGGACTGGGATCGGTCACTCGCCAGATGTGCTATTAGGTTCCAGGCGTGACAATGTAGTCCCTAAGGTAAGAATTCCTTGTAACAGCTAGACGGCCACTGTTGTTTTCTCTTTTCCTTCCTGTTTCGTTCACAGCCATCACTCTTGCTTATCCTCACTTTCCATTCAGACCAGACTCGATTCCCTCGGCAGATCTGATAACGGCGTCCAGGTGTCCACGAGACGTTAGCCAGTTGCACATCCCATTTAATGTGGTTTCTTACTAGATGGTTGTGATACAAGTATTCAGCCACATATGAGGTATTGTTTTGTATTGCAGCCCCTAGGTCTGTTACGACCTACGTACACATCGGACTCGGGATTTTCGACAGGAGGCATATCACACTAAGCAATGGCGGATGAATTGGATGTCGAGGCAATGTTGGAAGCGCCCTATGCGCGTGATGTGAGTTGTTTTCTGTTAGAGTTTCGAGTCGCTGGGACTTTAATGCGAATTATTCACGGGATTCTCCTATTTTCCTGTCTCATTTAAACTTGCATTTAAACTTGATTTGACTTGAACCTCTTTGTGTTTTGTTAGGCTATCCCGGGGTTATCCAGCTACGTTGACGTCTGGCCCCTTCATCACCCACCAGTAGTTATCGATTGATTGTTTCGGTATGTTTCACAAGCGTGATTATTTTCTTGTCTTCTTTTGTCCCCTTCCAAACCCTTGAAACTGCTAATGATGTTGTCAATCGTTAGGGCACATCCAAGTCCAATGGTCATCGTAGGCGAGATCGTTCTCGTTCTCATGACCGTCACCACAGGTGAGATGCCATTCATACAACTCACGTATTTCAGACACCGCTCCCGTAGCCATGAACGTCGGAGAGAAAGAGAGGGTGATAGCGAACACTATCGGGGCAGTCGTCGATATTATGGGCATGATCGTGAGCGTTATCGGCCGACACGCCACGATGATCTTAAAGAGCATGAAAGAAAACCCCATCGAAGTAATGAGCACCGCCAAAAATCGTAAGTAGTGATTCATGTCATTATTCATCCTAGACCTGAGCTGACTCCCGAGGAGCGTGACGCTAGGACCGTATTCGTGTGGCAGTTATCCGCCCGTATCCGTCAGCGAGACTTGGAAGATTTTTTCACCTCTGTTGGTAAAATACGTGACGTCCGACTTATTATGGACAACAAAACTAAACGCTCAAAAGGCATTGCCTACGTGGAGTTTCGCGAAGTGGAGTCAGCTCAGCTAGCTTTGGGTCTGACTGGCACTCGCCTGCTCGGAGTCCCCATCCAGATACAGCAGAGCCATGCTGAAAAAAACCGCATGAACGCTATTCCCTCAGCCCCCCGGCCAGTTCAACAAAATAAAGGTCCCATGAAACTGTACATCGGTTCACTTCACTACAATATCACGGAGGAGATGCTCAAAGGAATATTCGAACCCTTCGGGAAAATAGACGATATCAAGTTGATCAAAGACCCTGCCACCGGCCGTTCCCAGGGTTACGGCTTCGTGACATACAATAATAGCGACGATGCAAAGAAGGCTTTAGATCAACTCAATGGTTTTGAGTTAGCTGGTCGTCCCATGAAAGTATGTTCCTTGCTAATTTTTTGATTGCTTGACTTAGGTCAACCATGTTACAGAGCGGAACGAATACGCATGCTTAAGTGCACTGGATAACGACGAGGCGGATCGAGCCGGGGTCGATCTTGGAACCACTGGTCGTTTAGCTCTGATGGCTAAGCTGGCTGAAGGTACTGGGCTGGAAATTCCGAAAGCTGCTCTAGCGCAACTGCACATTGCACAAGCTAATCCAATACTCGGGTCAGCTGGTAGCGTGAGCTCTTCCTCCGCCATCGCGCCACCAGTTTGCACCCAATGTTTCATGTTGTCTAACATGTTTGACCCGCATACCGCCACCCATTCTATGTTCAATGAGATTCGTGACGATGTCATTGAGGAGTGCAGCAAAGTTGGGGGTTGTTTACACATTTTTGTGGATCAGACAAGCGCACAAGGAAATGTGTACGTGAAATGCCCAAGTATCGCTGTGGCTACACAATGTGTGAACATGCTCCATGGTCGCTACTTTTCTAGTCGCCTTATCACTGCCGCCTATGTTCCCTTGATAAACTATCACCAGCTGTTCCCGGATTCCGTCACTGCCAAAACCCTGTTGCAGCCATCCAGTTGATTGTACATAAGCTTTATTTCAATTTGCTGAAATGTAAATGTTTGCTAAGTTTCATTCGCTCTAAATCCTTTGAAGACCCACGTATGAGGTCTTGTTTAATCAATTTATCCGTTTATATACCTGGGATTTCATTGTGTTGCTACCACTCTCATATGTAGGCTCTTTACATCAGTGTTGACTCGTTCTACCTCTTTCGACAATCAGCTGCTTCAGGCGCCACTCACGGTTTCCCGGAGTCCTAACTGCTGCGGCCCACTCTTGCAATACATTTCTCTTTGTGCTAAGGTCCAACTAATTTGTGCCATGATCTGATCCGAAGTGCGGTTAAAACAGCTACCATCACTTGCGCCTCTATGCTTGTAGGAGGGGACTGGTACATAGACAGGATCAAGAGTGCGAGGGAATCCTTACCGACAATACACGCTAGTCTTGGGTGAGAAGCATCTCAGCTAATGTGTCGCGGTATAATAAAAACTAAAACCTTAACATACTGCTAAACTCGCATTATACATTGGGTTAAGATCGTTGCTAAAGGGGCGGGGAAGGACAGAGACCCACAACACAAACGCCATTCTGGTCGGCTTCTTGCCATGTCAGCTAGTGTATCCAGCCAAACGTGTTCATCATTCTTCGGTCCCCAGTCTGGCAGTCGGGGAACACCAACCGACGCCAAGTTCGAAGTGAGGGACTTCATTCCTCTAGACCAAGTCATCGCTTGGCCTCCTCCTTCCATCCAGATCCCGGGCACGCAAACAACGCACGATGTGAGATTCGGTGTGCTGACATGCGTAACACGAGGCCCAACCATCGGAGTTTGGGTCCTGGTATATTGGGGCTGAGCGGTTCACGCGCTCTTCCTGCACGTAATACGCGACACCAAACACGTTCATTACTCGCGCGGTGCTCCCACCAGATATACGCTAAGCTGCGAAGGCATCGATTGTGAGACGTAACTAGATACTTTATGTTGACCGCTTTTATAGGCCAGGTTTCGCAGCCGTGCATGAGGTTGAGTAGACTGTTGCGTTATAAACTTTGCCCTTCAGGGCGAGCGTGATATTGCGGCGGCACCACAGGTGGCGGAAATCGACAAGGGCACCCGAGCTTTCGCTGTACGGTTCGTAACCTCATCTTGAATCCAGCGGGTGCTACTATAGTTGCTCAGGTACTTAAATTTCTGAATGACTTCTAGCTGATTATCGTCAAGGGTCAGCCCATGTGTGAGACTCTGCCAATCTTGTGGAAGGACTGCATTTCGACAGTGGTAAGCATAGCCCAAAATCACTGACAGGTGGATCTAATCTATCCTGTGCAACTTGGCACCTTTTTGAGCTGTCGTCGGCATTCAAGTCTAGAAGTCGGTCATTTGGGAGCAGCTCCACACCTGATTCGTGCTCGGCGAACTCCGTTTCCTTGGCTTCGTCAGTGGCGAAGTTATTGAGGAAAAGTGACATCGGGCGACTGGCTCACACTGCTAGATATATTGAAGGACGTTGACAGTTTGCCGTAAACCCTCACTGTACCTGAACTGTGCGTGTATAGCGCTCTTATGACATACATATTTCTCGGCCACACCTTTCCTCAGTAGACGGTCCTAAAGGACACATCAATCAACCGAATCGAAAGCCCCTTTGATGTCTGAGAACACGAGTACAATGGGTCGCTACTAAACACAGCTGTGCTCCAACACTTGGCGTAACGTGACGATGTGGTCAATGCAACATCGATTTCGACGAAACCCAGCCTACTCCTCGCGCATCTGGTTTTCACGGGTGCCACTTGGTCTGTGTATGCAAGGGATCATGCAACACCATCGCTGGCTCCATGGCCAACCCATGTCGGACACTGTCTAATCGGCACTTGTGTTCGTCACGTGACTTAGACAACGTCGGCTGTTCAAATGTAATGGTCTGTTGATACTAGGTAGTTTGCTACCTCAGGCGGTATGGCTTCCTCTAGTTTGTAACTCCGCAGTCACAGGCTCGAATCTGTGCAATTGCGGGCCGCTTTACAATACCCCGGCACTCACGCATCTGCAGTGCAATAGCAATGAAGTGTCGGTATCAGATAGCTGCGCGTTGCTGTCACTTTTGCAAATAGGCACTAGGCGATGTCGTTTTTTTACACTGACAAACCAGTACATTCAAGCGTAGTCGGCGATTTCTCCTGCCAGTATGCTATCATTTGCCTTGCTGCAGCTTTATTCACTGTACTCACTCGGTCAGTTTGTACGACGTCTATTTCGATGGTTTGTGCTCGGAAGTGTTTCCGACCCTCTTGATCATGCTCTAGCCTTTCCAACGGTTTGAGCGCTAGAAATGACACCCCCCATACAAGTGAGCCGATCTATCACCATTGCTTACTCGGACGTGGTGAACATTTGTGGAATTTCGATGTGATCCTGCTGTAGTACTTTGCACATTAAGTTACGAACCGTGTTGTAGCGCGACGGGTCCTATGTCTCCTATAAATAGCTATGAGCGTAACTATACTCCTCCTGCCCGGATTCCCTCAGTGACCGTGCGCGAACTAATTAGGCTTGGAGACGTACCAATCAGTAGCCCCAACCCTAGGCCTCGCATTCTGCAAGCGATTCCACACCGGAGGAGCGCCAAACGCTTACGCGATTTGCTTTTAATTTACAAGGTTTTTGGGTCAGCATACAGCGGACAGGGTGAAACTGAAGGCAGCTGTCCAAGACCTCAAGTCACGTCGCGCTACTGCTTAAAGTAGTCTGCGGTTGGTGGGTTTTCGGATGGTGCACCGGCGGTTTACTCCCTCCATGCCAGAGCCCATCCTGTTGGCGCACGATCCTGGACGCAACATACCAATACCCTTCATGTGGTTTTCAGTAAGTTGCGTAGCCTGCATAACAAGATGTGCGAAGTTAGCGCTCTTGTATACCTCTGTCATGCAGAGGTTTTCACTCTTAGTGAAACTTGGTTAATTCACGAAGTGGTACAAGACACCTTTTGTTTGTGGTTCCCGCTTGTACCCCACTGACTGCTGATCGGACGCTGCCAAGCATACCTACTATCACGAACTAAAAACGCTGCTACGCACTGTTATCATTTCAGATATAATGACTCTTGCAGGATATATGGATTCGAAATTATGTCGTCTGAGCTCTTCCGCAGCTCAGCTAGGTGCATCATCAGCTGCAGTACATCAGCCACTTGAACTGATGCTTCGCTGCCGTACAACCACCGTGACCTACGGAACGTAGAACAGTAAGAGGGAGAAAAGCGGGATTTGCGATAAAACCTTAGTGCTCTAACTAAACACTCGGGATCAAGGCGCCTACATCTTGTCAACAACATATTATCGTAAACAGCTGGCTATCGTGCAAAGGCGGCATCGCCGAACAGCTTTTTGCGGCCTTCACTGCCCCTCGTCATAATCAACCATTGCCCCTCAGGTAACTCAGCACCAATCACATTTTAAACAGACAATCCGACCAAGAGACGACAGGAGACGCCACCGGTGTCGATTGCGGGCCATGTCCTGTAACGTTTCGAGCCAAGCACAACGCGCGTCACGTGGACTCCAGCCTTGAAGGCAAGACAGCAGTGTTGGCTCATCAGTGACTTCATTTTCCGCTGCCAAATTAGTATTTGCTCACCTCAAACCTTGCGCCACTCTACATCAGGCAAACAAAATAAGGCCTTCCTCGGTAACCGATGACCAGGCATACGTAGTACGCGCCCAAGCCAACACAACTTATTCAGTGCTATCTGTTCTAAGAAAATAGCCGGGTTATCACGGCCTAGTACTCCGTTACACATATCGTTGCGCACACGCTGATGCCGTCCGACACCAACAATGCCCAAAGACTTGAAGGCGCCGCAGATCTTCAGTTCGAAGCGACCAAGTCTCATTCGCATAAAGTATAGTATATGCACGGCCTTTTCAATGGAGGGAAAACCCTTTCTGATGCCACAGTTGTCGCAGATTCGAAAAGGCGGCCCTAGCTTTTGCAATGTGTGAACTGCAGTCGCTATGCGCCCATCCTTGCTGATACAACTGCCAAGGTAAGTGGATTGGTCAACTACCTCGAACTCTTCGCTATCAAGGGTTATATGGTCATCAAGTGGCTGGTGGTCCCGTATCTGCGCTTTGAAGGAGCGAAGCACATGCCAATTGATGGGACCACTAGAGAGGTTACTCAGGGTTGATTGTGCCACCCCAACATCGTTACAAAGCGGGAAAATATCGTTGGCATAATCACGGTTAACTAACTTTTCACCAGGTAGTACCTCAACGCCTTCATCGTGAGATTCCGTGAGGGAACAATCCATGATGCAGTCTACGACGAAGTTGCACAAATGGGGAAATTGGGCAACC